AGAGAGAGAGAGAGAGAGAGAAAGAGAGAGACGAAAAAAAAAGGGAAAATAGGGTGTTAATGCTGCTGTCAGGTTATTGGTATTAGATATGGAATGTAATTAATCTTTTTTTTTTGGTTAGAAAAATAAAATATTGCTATTCTTGTTTTGATGATGATGATGATCACTCATTATTATTATTATTATTATTATTATTATTATTATTATTATTATTATTATTATTATTATTATTATTATTATTATTATTATTATTATTATTATTATTATTATTATTATTATTATTATTATTATTATTATTATCTGGTATTATAAATTGTCAATGTCATTATTTTTCTTTATTATCACTATTATTGCCCTTCACTATTTTCTCTTTGTGTGTGTTTCTGTGTAGATCCCAGGGAAAGGTATTCCCTTGATGTTTCTCACTAATTCTCTCAATATTTGGGGAAAATGCCTCCTTTTTATTTTGCACATTTGCGGACGTACATGTCTTGTTTGTTTGTTTGTTTTTTATTTTGTTATTTTTCTGATCTATTTCCTTCACAACGAAAGAAATATGTACAATCTTCAACTATGTAGATATGTATGAGTACAATCATACATATTTTTTCTTTTTTTTTTTGTCCAACAAAAAGTATATAAACTTTTTGTTTTCCTTTATTGTATTGCTTGTAAACACACGTATCTCATCAACTGTTAATGGTATTTTTCCCTCATTCTTCTTCTTCTTATATATATATATATATATATATATATATATATATATACTCTAAAAAAAATAAAAATAAAAAGTAATAAAGGAGACGTTGCTGTTGGAAAGAAGAAGGCAGCATAGTTTCCAAGTTTAACAATAAAACAAGACAAAACTTAACTTAAAAAAGAAAAAGAAAAGAGAGACAGAAAATTTAAACAAACTCACTACAGATACACTGTAGAAGCTGACAATACCCTAAAAAAAGAAAAGAAGAATGAATGAATCCAATCGGGTCGTATCCCCTCAACGAAATGAAGCTACCGGCGGGAAACGGCAGAAGCGGCGGCGAAAGAAAGGAAAGGGACAACAACAACAACAACAACAAGAACAATGCCAACATGAAGAGGAAGTAGAAGAAGAAGAACAACAACATGAGGAAGAAGAAGAACAACACCAGCATGAAGATCAACAGGAACAACAACAGGAAGAAGAACAAAAAGAAGAAGAAGAACAATACCAACAGGAAGTAGAGGAAGAACAGCAGGAAGAAGAAGAAGAAGAAGAACACTCCGAACGAAGTATATCACAGCCGTCATCCACTGCAATTATGAACAGAGGAAGTCATGTATCCTCCGGCCGTTTAAGTGTTGAAAGTCCATCCCCTCGGTCCTCAGCTTCTCTATCGATTCTTCAACAAATGCTTCGAGGCGACAATTGTGATATCTTGGACTTGAAGAATGTGTTAATGAAGACAGAGAGTTCACATCGTCATATTATTGAAAATAAATACTTTTTGGGTTTTCGTGCGATCATGGAAGAATTCCTGAAAACTTTCCCTGGTGGATCTAAAAGATTATCGCAGTTGTCTGCTAGAGGAGGAAGTAAATCCGGCAGTAGTTGGCAACCATGGAGTCAACCGAACAGTGAACGAACCACGGAATCCAATATCTCTGCAAGACTTGGAAAGATTGGATACGATAGGGAAGAAAACTTTGAAATGTTGTTTAGTTACAATCCACAGGAAGAGAAGGAGAAACACAGTGGTTTTGGAAATGGAGATGAGATGGATGGGATTTCTGTACTTGTTAGAGAAGATCAAGGAACAATGCGGAGTCTCCCAGAAGATCTGGTTAATAAAGGAGATACTTCTTTCAGTCAAAACTATCCATCAAGGCAATCACAACAACAACAACGCCAATCACGTGAGGTACAACGAGGATTACCTGGATCTATGGAATCATACGGAACTATGGGAGTTTTACCAGAGGAAACAGTGGGTTTATTAAATGGTATAAGTCGAAATGAAACACTTCAGTGGCCTTCTCTTATTACGGATTTAATATCCAGTTCAAGGGAAGGGACTGTGATGCCTTCTCTTTACAAGGATGAATTCCCTGTTTTTAAAAGAAATTCCACTTCAGATGATTCTTATTCACCTTCTGCTCCTGTTGGGATTGAGATTGGAGTAGAGGATGCAATGAAGACGGGATCATTTCTTTTACTTGTATGGTTTACTTCAGTTATGCGTCAATTGATATTTGGCATTTTCGCTGTGTGTATTATTGCACTCTTATCACTTCAAAGTTCTTTCTTTGCTGCTATGGGTAACGTTTCAAATATGAACGTATTACTTGCAAAGGGAAATTTTATTAAACCATTTCTTTTCCTTGTAAATGCGGTGAGTTTTCTCATATTTTTAATCCTTATTTTAGTTCTCTGTCCTTTGTTCATTAGCGATAACTCTCGAAATGGACATTTCTTTCCACACATCATATTACTTTCTGGTTTATCCTTATCAGTTGGCGGTTCACTTTGTGTGATGTTTGGTCTCTTTCAGGTGAATATATGGATACTTTTCTTTGCTCAATTTATACATGGTGTATCTCTCGCCATTTCATTTATGGGACTTTTATTATTTGCTGTGGTGGAGCAAGCTCTTATGGCTGGAACTATCTTATTACTTTCTCTTACATGTGTTACCTGGCTTCTCTCTAATGCGGTGGGTTTATTTCTCTTTTCCACAATTCTACATTATAATAATAATAATACCAATGACCCAAAAATAGCGGTGAGTCTTCTCGTTGTGGGTATGTGTATGAATTTATTATTGGGATTCGGTATGTGTGTGTTGGTGCCTCCAGAGACTTGTCGTAAAGCTATCCGCATATCACGGTACTTTTTTAATACGGACAACAACAACAACAACAACAACAACAACAGTACAGGGAATACTCTTCAGCGTATGCATATATCTTTTATTTTACGTTGTTTGGGTTGTGGATGTCTTCTTGCGATTGGAATTCTTTTTACAGTTGTGGCTGGTGAATCATCATTGCAGTTGGGTCCATTACAAGCATACACTGTGAATTCTCCTTCTCTTGGGCCGTACATCACATCTCTCTTTTTCCTTAGTGGTCTTTTCTTTTTTCCTTTCTCTTTCTTACCACGTGTTGGATCCCTTGTACACATCGCCGAGTCTGGTCTTTGTAGTGGAATGATGTTTCTAGTATTGTTGACTACTATCTTTTATACACAACTTATTGGGAATACTTTTCTTTCTTCTTTTATTTCACCACTTGTGATGATTGGTATTGTGATGTTTCTTTCTGGTGCCTCCTTTTCCATATCGGTAACAGGAATCCTGCGTTCTCTTTGTATACCAACAATGGTATTACCAGCGGCTAGATTGGCATTCTTATTTACTGTTCTTCTTACCGTGTGTGTGGCTCTCACACTTGGTGTGTTTACACTTTTACTATGGATTGAACAGAGAAGTCAAGGAGGAAAAGAGTTTGGTGGTGTTTCGTATCTGGTATTGGGAATAAGTGCACTGGCGGTGGTGTTGCAAGTGATATCTACTCTCTGTAGGCGTTGTGCTTTGTGAGGAAGAAGAAGATAGGAGATGCGGCTATATTCTCCTCATCTATATATATATATATATATATATATATATATATATTCAT